GCATTGAGTTTGTTAACCTTAAATTTCTGAAATCAGAATTGCCAATTCATGTCACCTTCAGGTCTCAATTAAGAGTAACTTAGATGTAGTTGTATTGGTTCATGACTGTAATTCTAGCACCTGTGAAGCAGAGGCAGGAGGATCATCATGTGTTCAAGGCTAGCCTGGGCTATAGGGTGAGAGCCTATACAGAAAACAAAAAAATCCAACACACATGGTACCACATGCCTGTAATCCTAGCACTTGAGAAATGGAGGCAGAAGGATTAGGAGTTCAAGGTCAATGTCAGTTACAAAATGAGTTGAGACCAGTCTGGGCTACATAGTGAGTTCCAGACTAAACTGGCCTACAGTGAGAGACCCTATCCCCACCCAAAACACATAGATGCCATGTGGTACAGCCCTTAGAGGTCTAGAACACACTCCACAGCTTACATGGAGGGGGCTGCAAGCTTCCTTCCCTGGGCCAGATGCTACACACTGCACCCTGGACAGGAAACTCACAGCTCTCCAAGTCTCCCAGATATTTTATACTTGCAGAGGTTTCATGAACCATAGTGACTTTGACAACAGTTTCCTTGGAACAATCATTAAGGGGACCATCGTGTAAGGCCACCATAACTTTCCCAAGCACAAAACAATCTCAGAAGAGTCCAGCTGCACCTCTACTGAGGCACAGCAAATGCTCACCTACCCATTCTCCTTCCCAGTTTCCTCCTCTTCCGCTCTCCACTCCCCCTTTAAAATCAAAAAGCACAATTCTTCCCACTGTTAAGCAGAGCCACTGCTTCCTCTGAAGCTTGTTCAAGGCATTCTGAGAACAAAGACAGCCCTCTTCCTAAAAGAAACTACAGTGGATGAAATTTCCTCTGCCTCATTACACATACAAGTGTTGAAATCTTTTTAAAGTTTGGCCAGTTATAAATTGCAAACCAGAACTGCAAGACCTTCTGAAAATGAGTCTATCCAGGTACTGCAAGGCTGCACCTCAGATCTGGGGCTGCAGGTGGCTCAAGCTGCCTGGGATCTTTCCATCCTGAGGAGCTCCAGCTTGTGTAACCTCCTCCTCGTGCCCTCTGCTATTCTATGACTACAGACAAATGGGCTGTCTGAATCTCCTCCAGTCCAGGACACCAGCCATGGGCATGGCAGGATCCAGTCCAGGACACCAGCCGTGGGCATGGCAGGATCGTGGGGTTCTGTAGTCATGAGTCTCAGTAAGTAGGGAGACCTGGCTGTCATGTGTTCCATAGCCCCAGGGGGATAGGTTGAGGTTAGGTGGGCATGGCAGGAAAGTGGGGTTCTGTAGTCATGAGTCTCAGTAAGTAGGGAGACCTGGCTGTCATGTGTTCCATAGCCCCAGGGGGATAGGTTGAGGTTAGAGACTCTTTTCTTAGCTGCCTCTGCTTCTCACTGAGTCAAAAACAGGGACCTTAGCAAAGAGCCTGTATAGGCTGGAGCTAGTGTGAAAGGATGGCTACCTTTCAAGCCTGGAGGTCTGGCAGGGCACCTGCAGACTTGTGAGACATTCAAGATCTTCTGAGAAAACAAACTTTCCTGGAGGTTGGTGGATATTCCTAGAAACAACCCTCAGCCCTGGTATGGCAGCAAAAGAAAGGCAGATCCTTCTAGAAGCCTAGCAGAGTTCTATGAAGGAAAGAAAATGTGAAACTTGAACAACAGTTGAAAATTGCTGTTGCCTGGGCTATTTATTTCCTGATCAGCTTAAGTTTCTTCGGCATTTCAACTAATTCGTAGGGAGGTGGGGCAAGGCATGAGATTTGATTATTGATTAATAGAAGAAACCAGCTCCAAATGGGTTGGTAATACCTAAGAAGGCTGTGGTCTTTCAAATGCAAAAGTTAGAGTGGACATGGTTGTATGCACATGGACTAAATAGCAAGGCATGTTTCAAAAAACTAAAAACAAATAAGCAACAACAACAACAAAAAGATTTGAAGAAGATGTGGATGAAGAAAAGGAATAGGAAGATGAAATGTTCTGAGGGAAGAAGATGCACTGAGAGGAGGGAGGGTGTGAGCAGCATCCCACCCTGCAGTGGCTCCTCCACCCTGCTTCCTGGCTGCAGCTGCTCCTGGCCCCCATCTGCTCATGGCAATCTGAGGAGCGTTGAAGGGCCTCCCAAGTCCCCTCCTCCATTCCTCACCATGCCTTGATGCCCCCATCAGCATCTCCAACCTTTGAGTTAGCACTGGCTCCACTGACTCCTCCACCAAGCAGGTAGCATTAATGTCAGGATTTTAGATCTGCAATGTATCTAGCTTTGAACAGTTTTGGAACTTTCTAAAATGAAGTATTACCAAACGGGATAAGTAGTTTTTCAGGTTTGGTGCTCTTCCAACTGTTTATGTAGTTGCCTTCATTCCTCTTTAAGAGAATCCAGACAAAGCCTAAATGTCAGCAGACCTGGCCTTTAAGAGATAGTAGCCAGCAAAGCCAGTAAGCCAGACAATGAAATACCCAGGCCCTCAGGTACCAGAATACTCATGGCATTCTCTCTGTCTCTCTGTCTCTCTGTCTCTCTGTCTCTGTCTCTCTTTCTCTGTCTCTCTCTGTCTCTCTCTCACACACACACACACATACACACACACAAACAAATCTTTCTTAAAAATAAAACTAAAAGTGCTTATAAACTGCTTTGTTCACCACATGTTTAATAAATGTGTGCTATTTTAAATATTTTTATTTTAGGTGTATAAGTGTATTGCCTGCATATAGGCAGGCCCACCTGTGTCGTGCAGTGCTTTCAGATGTCAAAAGAGGACATTGGATCCCCTGGAACTGGAGTTATGGATGGTTATTAGCTGCTATGTGGGTACTGGGAACCAAACCCAGGTCCTCTGCAAGAGCAGTCAGTGCTCTTAACCGCTAAGCCATCTCTCCAGCCCCATGTGTGCTATTTTGTATGAACATGAATTCCTACATACATTTCTAAAATTCATACAAAAAGACATATTTCTGAGGCTCCCCCTCCCCAAAGACTTTTTTCCATTTTGCTAATAGTGAGTGATTGCTTCTCAGCCTTTTGGCTAAGATCACGTGATAATAGCAAGCCTGTCCTGTGAGAGAGTGGAGCTACCAGAACTGTCATACAGCCAATGGGAATGTCACATAGAAAGTCACATTGAACAGCAGTGTAATGATTTCTGATGAATTTTCCACACTTGCCTTCAAGCTAGCCATCACAGTTCCAGTTACAAAAGAGAAATGAAAGGGCTCAGCTTGGTGGGGCATGCCTTTAATCCCAGCACTCAGGAGGCAGAGGCCGACAGATCTCTGAATCTGCGGCCATTGTGGTCTATATAGCAAGTTCCAGGATAGTCAGAGCTGCATATGAGAGCCCATCACAAAAACAAAAAACGAAAGAGAGAGAGGGTGAGAGAGTGAGAGAGGGCAAGAGAGAAATGGAAGCTTACATTCACACAAAGAACATTCATAGCAACTTTATTCATAATAGCCAAACACTGGGAAAGGTCCAGCTGTTCATCAACAGGTCAAGGAACAAATTTTGAACACTTTTTTTCAGTGGAATGCTTCTCAGTATCAAGAGGAGATGAATGACTGACAGACAGGACAACACAGATGAATCTCAATACCATGATGCCAGAGGGAAGAAGCCAATGCAAAAGGCTGTGGCTGTGGATTTCCATCATTAGCACAGTCTGGAAACAGCAAAACAGATGAGACACTGTGGGGGCTGGGGGTGGGAGGACTTGCTATAACAAAGCCCTGCATCTGCCTCTTTTAAAAAATCTCATGTGGGGGCTGGAGAGATGGCTCAGGGGTTAAAAGCACTGACAGCTCTTGCAGAGGACCTGGGTTCAATTCCCAGCATCCACATGGCAGCTAACAACCAGCCATAACTCCACTTCCAGGGGATCCAAGACCTTCTTCTGACCTCTGTGGGCATTGCATGACACGGACACATTTACATGCAGGCAATACACTCACACACATAAAATAAAAATAATAATTTTTTAAAATTCATGTGTATATGTGTCTTCATATGTGTGCAGGTACATGTGTGTGTGCAGGGCTGCTTGTATGTGTGTGCATTTGGAGTCCAGAAGACAACCTCAGGTATCACCCTCAGGAACACCATTCACCTCCTTGTTACCCAGGTCTCTCACTGACCTGGAGCTCACTGATTAGGCTGTGACAGCTAACCAATGATCCCCCTGTCTCTGCCTGCCCAGACTGGAATTACAGGTATGTAGCACACCATGCCAGCTCTTCTTATGATTGCTGGGGGTGGAATTTAGGTCCTAATACTTGTGAGGCAAGTTTTACCAACTAAGCCATCTCCCCAGCCCATCATCTCAATCATGGCTATAGATACATGGCTGAATAGAAACAAAATTCATAGAACTGTACAACTTAAAGGGTAAATTATACCTTAACAAACCTGACATTAAAAGCCATGAAGCTAGGAACCTAGGAAAAGAGGAAACCTAGCAAGGGGGACAATGGAAGGATATTTTTTGTTTGATCAACCACATCTATAGTGCTTGAATTTTTTTTTCCAATGCTGGAGATCCAACCCAGGGCCTTGTAAATGTAGGCAAGCACACTATCACTGCCCTGCTTGAAACTTTGTAATGAATATATAATTTCTGTAATTGACAATTCCACTTCAGTTTTCAATAATAAGAATGTTATTTCTCTTGAAAGAGTGTCATGAGATCCAAATGGAATCACATGAGAAAGCTTAGCAATGCATTCTTTTTTTTTTTTTTTCCTCTCTCTCTCTCTCTTTTGGTCTTTTTGAGACAGGGTCTCCTGTAGCCCCAGCTAACCTGGAACTCACTATGCAGACCAAACTGGCCTTGAACTCACAGAGATCTGCACAAATGTGGAGAGCTTCCTCTCATCATGAACCTCCTCTACCCTCCACTTTCTTGCCCTGCCAATGACCCACACAGTAAGTGACAAGGTACAGAGGTCAAGGGGCTTCCACTGACAGTGACAGCCATGACTTACCTCTGTGACAAAAAGTGTGCGAGGGTCAATGATGTCCAAGAAGTGCCTGAAGCGGCCGTAGAAGGACGTCTGGGGAAGGAGGGAAGAGGAGAGAAGGTCAGCAGCTGTACACAAGCTCAACACGCTGGAGGCCCCACACACAGTGTGATCTTAGAACTGTGGCTCTCCCAGTCCCCAAGACTCTTCCTGTCAGTGATAGAGGCCACTGAGGCCTCAGTGCTCAGGGACTGGAGGGCAACTATGCCTGGGCTGGGAGCTTCCTAAAATCAACTCAGAGAGACCATTAAAATGCATCATGGAGCTGGGTATGATGGTGCACACCTTTAATCCCAACACTTGGGAGGCAGAGGCAGGTGAATTTCTGTGAGTTCAAGGATAGCCTGGTCTATACAGTGAGTTTCATTCCAGCTGGGGCTATAGGGAGACCCTGTCTCAAAAAAGACCAAAACAAAACAACAACAACAAAAAGATGCATCATGGATAGGGCTGGAGCAATGGCTCAGTAGTTAATAGTGCTTGTTTTTCTTCCAGAGGACCCAAGTTCAGTTCCTAGTATTGATGTTGGGCAGCTCACACTTGCCTGTAACTCCAGCTCCAGGGAATCTGACACCCTCTTCTAGGCTCTGAAGGCACCTGCATTCACATGTGTGTACACAGACCCACATTCAGACACACACATACACACATGATTAAAATACAAAAGTAAATCTTAAAAAAAAAAAAAAAAACCTTCCTCCCGGTGTCCCCATCTTTCTCCCTCACCCCCATTGTGCTGAGATCTATTCTAGGCCCTTGAGAAGACCCAAGAATCCCTGGGCACATGGGCACATTCCCCACAGAGGAACTCTAGAGCCAGGGCAAGTCTTTCCTGTCCCTCCCAGGCCCCTCTCCAAGGTCCTGCCCTGCTTCCAGAGGGAAGCTCCCCACAAAGACCAAGCATGGCAGCCCTGACAGCCTCAGACCCTCCCTCAACTCATTGTCTTGTTGCTACTGTGAGGTTCAGGATGAAGGGCAAGCTCCACCCTCCCACCCTCAAGTCTTACTCAAGAACAGGGCCCTGGAAAAGGAGAGCTTTGTGTTAAGCAGGCCACAGGCATTGGAGCACAATGAAAGGAAACCAAGCAACGGGGCTGCTGGGCCTTCTGCCTGGGGACAAAGCCAGCTGGGCAATGCTGGAGCTGAAGGGGAGAAGAGAGGGTGCCGGCTCAGGGATGAAGGAGCAAGCTGCAAGCACTGGGGGCTCATGCCTCACTGCACTCTGGGCTTGGCCCCAAAGTCCTCCCTGGAGCTCCACAGCTTTCCAAGCACAGATCTCTGCACAATGAAGGGAACAGAAGCCCTGACCACCACCCAACCCCCACCCAATTACCATGGCTGGCACAACACCCTGCACTCAACTCCTGCCCTTTCCTTTCCCAGTAAAACCCTGCAATAGGCCCCAAGACATTTCAAAGTTCCCATGTATACCAAGCCTACCCCATTTCCGTTTCTCTGCCTACCCCCTGCATAAGACAGCCTCTCCATCACAACTTACATCTACTCCAGGTACAGAGCGGAGACTAGATTAAGCTTCAGCACCATTCCTAACTCAAACAAGTGCTTTCCTAACCTCTCAAAACCCAAATAGCTAGAACTAGTTTCCACTTAAGATATATATACATACATGGGATTGGAGAGATGGCTCAATGGTTAAGAACTCCTACTGCTCTTGCAGAGGACACAAGTTTGGTACCTAGTATCTACATCAGGCCCCTCACAACCACCTATAACTCCAGTTCCAAGAGATCCAATGCCCTCTTCTGGCCTCTATGCATACCAACACACTCATATGCATAAAAACACACAGACACATAATTAAAAATAATAAAAATAAATCTAAAAAAATACATACATGATGCTCATTTATACTGTGGTACTGTGATCCTGGTAAATTTTCACTTGTAAGAATTTAGTCTAAGAAAACAAGCAGAATGTTTAGGGATGTGGTCAGAGCACACACCTGCTGTACTGTTCACAAAGGTGGATGGTTAGCAAGAGTGAACGTTACACAGCCAGGTAAACTTGTGTTTTCAGGCAACCGTTATGATAGAAAAACACTTATGATTTTATAAAATGTGTGCCAGCAATGAGATTCTAACTTAATAAGCAGAGACAGAAAATGAATTTTTTTGTGGTACTAGGGATTGAATCCAGAGCCTCATGCATGCTAGGCAAGTACTCTACCAACTAAGCTACAGCCCCAGCCCAATAGGTAGATTCTAAAAGATGAACAAAAAGATCAGATAAAATTCAGACCCTAAAAGGACCAGGGTTCCCCCGCAAAAAAGTGGCTGGTTTCAGGGCTAGGGCAGGGAAGGGGTAAGATGAAACTGGTACATTTTGTGACTGGAGAAAGCGATGAAGTTGTCCAGCCCTCAAAGTGAATGAGAGTGGTAACAGGACCACTAAGGGGCAAATGACACAGTATGCTGCAGGACATGACACTGGCTGCTCGTGCAGAGGATAACTCCAGTTCCAGGGGATATGACACTGTCTTCTGATCTCTGTGGGTACTGCATGACACAGATGCACTTACATACATACAGGCAATACACTCATATACAAAATAAATAAATAAATAAAATTTAAAAAGAGAGAAAGACAAAGAATGAGACAGAAAGAGGAAGGGAGGGAGGGATGGAGGGGAGAGAAACAGCTCATTCACTGCACTGATTCAGAATTGGATGCCAGATTAGAGGGGAAGTTCTTTCAAAGGCATTATTGAAACATGGCAAAACTGAAATACAGACTATAGATCAACTTTTTAAAATACTGCATTGAGTCTGGAAAGATGGCTCAATGATTAAGAGCGCATACTGCTTTTGCAAAGGACCCAAGGACCCAAGTTCAATTCCCAGCACCCGCTACAGGCAGCTCACAATTGCCTGTAACTCTAGCGAGAGGAGGAACCAGTGCCTCTGGCCTCCTGGCACCTGCACTCATATGTACATACCTCCACATAGATGTACACACATACATATAATTAATAGGTCAGCCTGGTCTACATAGTGAGTTCCAGGACAGCTGGAGCTATAGGGAGACATGCAGGGTTTCCCCATTCAAACTCCTTTAAATTTTAATTTTTTGCCAGATGTTGTTGGTGCATACCTTTAATCACAGCATTTGGGAGGCAGAGGTAAGCAGATCTCCATGAGACTGAGCCAGCCTGGTCTACATAGTGAGTTCTAGGTCAGCTGGGACTATAGGAAAAACTGTCTCAAAAACAAACAAACAAACAACAATAATAATAATAAATCTTAAAATACTTTATTCATGCTAAATTGCCTGAGTATGGTAACCATACAATGCTTATGAAGAGTCCTTGTTCATAGGAGATATTCACTGAAATATTATGGAATGAATGTATGTAACCTAGTTTCAAGTAGCTGAAGTAAAAAGAAATACATAAAAGTACAGGGCAGCCCCAAAACCCGATAATGCAGGTGCTACTGTTTACTTTCTTACAGACTGAAGATGTTCTTAACAATGCCATGTACATTTGCTGTTTCCAGATGTTCTGTAAGGCAAAATGACTTAGATCTGCCAATCAAGAAGTGTGCATGGGAACTAGGGATGGAGCATGCACAAAGCCCAGGGTCTGATCCTCAGTGTTGTAAAAAAAAAAAATCAGAGTAGGTTAGGGCTGAGGACATAGCTCAGTGGTAGAGTACTTGCCTACCATGGGAGAGGCACTACAAAAAGAAACTAGAACACAGTGAAGTTCCCAGTCATCCTCTATCCGAGAAAATGGGGTTTCTTGGGGCTCAGCAGCTAAAGCACTTTCCCTGCACGAATGCTGGGTGGGCATGGCAGACCAACTGTAACTCCAGGCTCAGAAGCTATAGGGATGACTTATAAAAAATGGACATAATCTAGACTAATGACTTTTAATTAACCCCAGCAAAACCATGAGCTCTTGTGTCTTGTGACCTGGGCACCTGATCTTGTTTCCTTGGCAACCTCAATTTGGTACTGCACTCAAAAAGATAATAAATAGTTTTGGGTATGCTTGAGAATTAACATATCAAATCACTGAAATGCAGAACACCTATCTCCACTGCACACAGTGAAGCCTGAGAAGGACATGTGACCTTGGGTGAGTGAGATATTCTAGAACTAGGAATGAAAAGACAGAATGGTCTGTTAAGATACACATGGAGCCAAACTTATACTTCCCCTATTGAAGCTGGAGAAATCATTTAGAATAAAATCATGAGTGGGGCCTGTCTCAAGGTCATGGTTTCAGAAACAGAGTTCCATCAGCACCGTTCCAGGAGACAGTTATAAAAGATACCGGGAAAACAAGTGTCCTCTGAATTCAGGCACACTCTTAAAAACTAAATTTAAGAGTCAGGCGTTTTTTCAGATAATTGTAATTTTGGCATAGTAATGCCACAAGAAGGCAGAGACAAGGGATCCCTAGCAAGACTAGCCATATCAACCAAATCTGGATTTGATTGAGAGACCCTGCCTCAATGAATACAGTGGAAAGAGGGACTGGAGAGATGGCTCAGTGGTGAAGAGCATTGGCTACTCTTGTTGAGGACCCGGGTTTGAACCCCAGAACCTACATGGTGGCTAACAGCTGTCTGTGACTCTAGTACCAGGAGATCTGATGTCATCTTCTGACCTTCGTGGGCATTGTACAACATGGGTACACTTACACACATGCAGGCAAAACACTCATTTGCATAAATAAAATAATAAAAAATAGCCAGGTGTGGTGGCACACGCCTTTAATCCCAGCACTCGGGAGGCAGAGGCAGGCAGATCTCTGTGAGTTCAAGGCCAGTCTGGTCTACATAGTGAGTTCCAGGCCAGCTGGAACTACAGGGATACCCTGTTTCAAAAATAATAATGATGATGATATTATTATTATTATTATTATTATTATTATATTATTATAAAAGGTGGAAGAGTGACCGAGGATGATTCCCAACATCAACCTGGAGCCTCCACATGCAGGCTCACATGCATGCACAAGCACCCACATGCACATAAAAACATGCCTACACACACACACACACACA